CAAATAGTGTGGGCAGAAAAGGCTGCTCTCTGAATCGAAAATCTCAAGGTGGCAAGGGTTCAACATAGGAGCAAGGTAGGTGTTTTTGAGCAGCCACATCAGAGCAAAGACGAGAAACCTGGGATCCAGGTCTGTGAGGAATATGGAACCAGACTTTGCAGGGCCTGATAATACACTCGTAAAAGGTTGGCTGCTACCTGCTTATCCTCAGTGAGTTGGCATTCTCAGTAATGAAAAGAGTTTTAATAAAGTTGATTTGGATTTTAACAGGTTAATTATGGCTGTTACTATGAACATAGAGGAAGAAAATGAAAGAGAACACGTAAATTAGGAGACAATCGAAATAATCCAGAAAGGGCGCCTTTAATTAAAAAGATGGGAAGGGGGAACATGCTGCGTGCCCGCTGGCTTGCTTTGGTGTTGAGGTTCAGGTGCTAGGGTTCAAAAAGAGTTCAGTTAGGATATGTTACTGTCAGATATCTATTGTCTGCACCAGTGTAGATGTCTATTACGATGGATATAGGAAACTGGAATTCAAGGGACGAGTCATAGAACAAGGTGCAAGTTATTAACCTATAAGATGATAAATGAAGCTATAAAAGAGAATGAGACCACCAAGAGCCTGAGTGTAGATACAAAATGAGATGAGATTCAAATGCTATACTGGAGGCACTGGGGTCAAGTGACTCAGAAAGTTCAGACTCTGATGAAGTTGCAAAAACATTAAGGTTTTTCAAACACTTAAACACCTATGTAGTGGTTTTGATACCAATAGACAGCCTGTCCAGACCGTTGGGAGCGAGCTGAGGGTGGGCAACAGGAGGGGCCGCCAGGGGAGACGGGGCTGGGCCCTGGGAATGGAATCTTAGGAGCAGCTTGTGCACCGAGCCACGCCCACCGCACACCAGGAAGGAGGTCCGAGGGTCGAGCACTGAGGGCATGGTGTGCAGCCAGTCAAAGTCTTGTGAAGGCCAGGGGCGGTGGCAAAGGCTTTGAATTTGTGCTTGAGGGAGGCCGCGTTGCCCGGGTAACTGGGCATGTGCCTGGCAGCCCGATCCCATCCAGGTCCCGCTTCCGGCTGCGGATGCGTGGCCCCTCCCACTGAGGCCTGTTGGGGGCGGCCCGAAAGGCCAGGGGAATTTCAAGGGTCCTTTTACTTAGGCTTTTGGTTCAGTCGCTGTCTTAGTGTTCAGTGTAAGATAGAGTTGAAGATACATCATTTTCACTTGGATATTAATGGACCAACAGAAGCTACTGAGAAGTCCACTTGACCTGTCTATTAATATTACTGGTTATTATCTACTATCTTAGTTTCTATAATTTTATAATATGACTGAATGTTAGTAGTATTTTCTTCTTCAAACAGTCAGATGAGTGGTAGTTCTAGATGGATTTGCATGTGCAGCTAGTAGATCTTCTCCTTAGGAAAACCAATTTACTGATAAAAATTTTTAAAAAGTTAATGTCTCTGGAAATTGTTCTAAGGATATACCATTGAATATTTATGAATAAAACTGGAAAAACAGTTGTCCAAATTATACCTTCTAAAATTGGTGAAAGCAGAAAGTATGGCAGTTGGTTTATGACACGGTCCCATTCCCCAGGTCGGTGTTGCTTTCTGCATTCTGTACTGCTGTGGCCAAGACAAAGAGGGTTCATTCCCCTCTAAATTCCCAGTCTAGCACTGTCGTTCATCCAGCAAGTACAGACGGCACACTTACCTATTGCTTCCCTAGATCCTGCTCTGGGAGTTACATATTACATGGGAGCAGCTGCCACTCAAAGGGTGAGCATTATGCTTTAGGCACAATGGGTCTAGAATACTGAGTCCCCAGTTTTGCTTGACCCACCTTGTTTGTAGAGCAACTGTTTTTATGCCAGGAAGGGCAACCTAAGAGGACCATGGTTTATTGTCTTTCTCTTACATCAACATGTAGAGTGGGCATGTTGCTGTGATAAAAAGTTATACTATCTACAGCTCTTATGTAGTGACACAGATAGATGTCCTGTTTGGGGAAATTCATGTCATGGAAAGAGACCTGCCTGAGTAAACTGATTTTATTTGGTATATACATAATGGAAAAGTTTAAAAAGGGTTTTGTTGAAAATGATGATTTTTGTACTAAGCATTTAAGACTGGACTGTTAACTCCATGAACCTAATAGCAACAAGCTAAATGGAAGACCACCAGAAATTTAACAAAGACACCAGGGGAAGAAACAGCTAACACAACTCCCCCTGGATCTTATTCATAATTGTGCGTCTAGAATTTTATTCACCTGTGCTAAAGTGCACCCACTCAATAAACATTGATCTACTCAATTATTTCTGTGGTAGTGTCGTGTTGTTTTAATTGCTGAGACTTTATAATGGATTTAAGTTTTTAAATATTTTATAATGGATTTTGACATTTAAAAAAATAAAATCAATCTGCATTTAAAAAAAACAAAGAAGGAAGGAACTCCTACCTTTTGAGACAACATGGCTGGAACTGGAGAATATTATGCAAAGTGAAAGAAGCCAGTTGGTGAAAGACAAATACCATATGATCTTACCTGTAAGTGAAATTTATTCAACAAAATAAACTAATGAACAAAGTAAACCACAGGCATGGGAACATGGAGCAGACTGAAAGTGACCAGAGGAGATGGAGAAGGACAATGGTGGAAAGAAGGAGAAGGGACTAGACAAAGAACATGTATGAATGACCCATGGAATGGACAACAGAGTGGGAATTGACTGTGGGAGTGGGGGGTGGGGGGTGGGATGGGTGGAGGGGGGTAAAGGAGGAAAAATTGAGACAACTGTAATAGAATAAACATGATTAAAAAAAAATGGAAGTGTTGTGTTTGGCTGACTTGAAATATTCCCAACCAGAATTATCATTTATCAACGAAGGACTAAATCTCACTGGCTCAAGGGGATTAAGCACATCTTCTGACCAAGTCCTAGATGTATGGAAAGCCACTCTGAATATCAATAAAAACATAAAATCTTAAATACATGCATGCATACATACATAGACCCAGATGGAAAATCTTGAGCTGAGTATTATAATAACCAAAACAAAACATTTAATAAAAAAATCATCAGAAGATTTCATCAGGCAGAAAAATATATAAATCAATTTGACAGATTATTAAGGATCTCGCAACTAGAAGAAAATAAAAGAAACAAGGGAAAGAATGTTTGTGCCTCTGAGAAATGTTTGTTGACATCTTTTCTTTCTTTACAAAAATTGTCAACAAACATGTAGAATATATTTTTATTTTCTTCTTTCTTTTCACTTTCTGTAATTTTCCGTTACTAGGGATGTTAGAAGATTTGTATATCCCATATATTTCTAAAGCTCAATATTTATGCTTGGATTTGTTTGTGCACATCCATCAGTATGGGAGTTTTTACATTGTACTGCTTTCCAGATAAATGATTTTGTATTTTTCCATGCCTAAATTACTGTTCAAACCATTGACTGAACATATGAATAATTTTCATATTTGAGTTTTAAAATGTTTAGTTGATACTTTTGTATATCCAGACTCACTGAGGGTATTCTACATTTTCCTATGTTTTTTGTATATTCTTATTCTATTTTAAAATGTATTGATCATAGTTAATTTTTTAATGTACTCTTGCTCTACTATCTGGATCACCTTCATATTTTACTTATAGTTTCTCTTTTTCTTTTCTTTTTCTTCTTAGTAATGAGTCATATATTTTAGCTCTTAATAACAAGTCATACATTTTAACTGTATCAAATGGTTAATTATATGCAGGAAGTTGTATGTAAACAAATGAAAAATCTCCAGGTGGCTTCCTTAGAGAGTTCCCTCTCTTTCTTCTGTTGGATGATTGTAGGAGAAGCTGATTGCCTTAGGTCATGGATAGTGCTAGGTATGAGGTGAGTTTTTAGTAAATCTTGGGTGAATTCTCCTGTTTTTTGTGTTACTCAGGCATGGGCCTTCTAGGCCTTCAGCTGTGATTTTTTTGTGACTCTATTTTCTCAGCTCTAAATGATTATGGGGAATTCATCTCTATCACCTAGAGGTTCAGAATCCAGCTCTCCAACCCTTTGCCACATGCAACATCAAAATCAGATACGTGTGTGACGGGGAGACAGTATAGGTGGTTGAGCTAGGCCTCCTTCTCCTATGTCACGTGTCTAAAATATACCATGATTTTAGGAAATCATGCTTTTGAGAAACTTCAGTTTAACTCTCTAGCTCCCACAAAGCTCTTAAATTAAGCCATTGTGACTTTGGGAAAACGGTTGTGAAACCCATAGAATATATAAACATTCTATACAAGGGTGGGGCAAAAGTCGGCTTACAGTAGTTCATGTGGAAAATAATACAATAATTAATAGTAAAAGAGCAAACTCGGTGTTTTGCATACTCACAACTGTAAACCTACTTTACCCACCCCTTCATTATACACAGTAATGATGTGCAGACTGAAAGCTACTATCTTTGCTAGGTGAGAGCTGTTAATGAGGCAAGACTGGCATGAATAATTAAAAAAAATGTCCAGGTTTGTAGTCTCCCTTTCATTGCCCACTGTTGCAGAAGATAGTAAGGAGATGACTAGCAAAGGAGAAATTTGATTTGTATGTTTGCATTTCCTTTGGGGCAAACAGGAGTACAAATGGAAAGGATGGTTAGGATTGAGACAGCAAATTAAAATCACACAAATACCCATTTCCCAGTAGCTGTGCCTTTGCCCAGGAAAGAGACTAATTCCATGGACAATTGAACACTAAAATTATTTAAAATAATGGAAAGTAGAAATACTCCAGGAATTAGCATATTTTGCCAATTGTTTAATGGCCAATATTTTATGACCTCAAATAATAAAAAATCCCAGGGAGTATGTCCATGGTCTGTGACACATTCTGTCACATTTGTACAGCTGGGAGACTAAAACTTAGTGGATGGGAAATTGGATAAGATTGGGTTTCTTTTTTGAAATTGTAAGCTGTTCCTTTTCTTTCTATGATGCTGTCACAACATTTTGGTGTTCTTCTTCTTTGGGTTAGGTTTTAATGGCTTCTTCCCCTTCTTGAGATCCTGTTTTGGCATTTGGCTCTCCTTAGGTGGAGGTGGAACACTTAGTGTTGGAGGTGGAAGGTCTTCACTTTTTTCTGTTCTTTTGAATTTCATAAAAGCCAGAATAAAGCATAATGGAATAATAAGAAAAATCAGCCAAAGTCCTTGCAGGTAGTTCTTCTTTTCCCCCACTTTGTGAATTTTTCCCTCTGGGGGCGGGCCACTGTCGACACTTCCTCCATGGCCTTTCGTCAGGCAGGTGGGGGGGGCCCACTCCTGGTTGCAGTGGCAGTTATTTTTGTTGTTGCAGACCCCTTTCATATTGCAGGTCTCAGGTGAACAACCAGCTACCAGAAGGGACCGATGGACACACTTCCTTCTGACGCAGACACGTTCCGCGTCACACTCTGTACCGTCTTTCACATCACCGATGTCAGGGGTGGTCATCCCCAAATGGTAGTCGGTACCCCAGCAGGTGACACCATTGAAGTGAGTCCAGTGCACAGTAGAATGGTCTCTCAGAAGGGGAATTTCTGCCACGTTCTCACACTGAACCCTCCCACACAGGACATCTGCCACGTTACACTGCTTATATACAGAGCCATGGATCCCACAGTTCCCAAATCGGTCACCTTGCGTGTTCATTTTGGTGTAGCAACCCTGATGTGCACTCCTGGCCTCTTTGCCGAAAATCTCCCTACACTGTTCTTCACGGTTATTGCATCTCTTCTCATAGCAGTAGCCACCGTCCTTGCACGGGATCCCATTCTGCACGTACACATCTTCTGGACAGTGGTAGGACGTCCCATTGCACCACTCCGGGAGGTCGCAAGCGTTCTCCTCTTGCCTACAGACTGTGCCTATCGGCATGATCTGGCAGTCTTGGCAACAAAGCCCGAAAGCACAAGCAGCGCCAGGTCTCAAGGTGCAGCTTGACTGACAACACGGATCTTTTGTACACAACTCTAAATCGCCACAGTCGCACTCTTCTCCTTCTTCAACCACTCTGTTCCCACACTGTGTAAGCGTGAAGACGTTCCCTGTATTAGATGAAACGTACAGACAATCTTGTGTTGCAATGGTGTTCATGAATGCAGCATAACTGCAGTTGCTGAACCTAGTTGCACTTGCTTTTGCCGGATACATTATGCAGGTCTTATGTCCACATTCACAGGTACCTGAGTCATGGTCCATACCCAAATTATGACCAATCTCATGTGACACAATATATGCAAAATCATGCAAATCATCAGTCATGAAACTATCAACTCCACAATTATAACGCAAGTCACATACTTTTCCAACATAGGCCAAGCCCACAGCAATACCATAGTAACGCTTTACAAAAACATGTGCAACATCATGGGGTAAGCGGTCATTAAAGCTGTTTTTTTTCCAGAGACAAAATCCTCCCAGGAGAGCCTGTATGGTATCTGTTGGAATGAGGTTTCTTTCAGTCCAGATCTCAATGCCTATTAAAACCACATCAATGTCCAGCGAACTCAGGAAGTTATCAATTTCATTGACAACGAGGTATACTTCGCTCTGCACAACTGTGGTGTTACTTTGGCGATGAAGGTATCGATCGTGGTCCACCACCACTGCCAGCTCAAGAAACCGCCTGTGGGTCCACCAGCCTTCATACCCGCTCTGCATCAAAGTGAACTTAACACTCTCTTGAAACTTCAATTGTCGTGCTATTTCTTCATCTGTCAGTCCACATCTCATGTGTGGGAATTGTGTCTCCTTATCATCCACCTTATATATGAGATGCTCAAACGTGGCAGAAGGCCTTTTGGGCTCTATTTCATACACAATGTCATTTGTCTGTAATATTCCTTGAAAGCCCCCTGAACAGGTACTGAGGGCCACCAGGGATTCTGGGTCCCCCTCCACGTAGCCATGATAGTAGCAGTCATTCTGGACAAAAGGCTGGTCCTCAAGGAGGGCACCTTGGTCGCTGTAGGTGAACACTGGGAGGTGTCTGGACAGGAAAAGCTTGTTAACCTTCACGTGGACCACCTGTTTCTGGCCTCCAAAATGCAGGCTGTAAGATTGCCAGTCTCCAGGCTTCACGCCCACACCAGTGACTGTTACCTTCAGTGGAATTGCCACTTCTGGGGGACCATGTCGTTGGGAGTGCCCAACCTGGGACCATTCATATAGGAACAGAAACACCCCCAGCCAGAGTGGTAGGAAAGTGTTCCTCGCATGCATCAGGGCCTCACCCACAGCTGTCATGGAGCCACCATACACAGCCATTGGTGAGAACAAAATATGATGGGAAGAAATGTCACTGTTTTGTGCTGTCACTCTGCGCTGGGTATTCAACACTGACTTTTAATCTGTTCTCTGGCAAAGTCATACCATCAGAGCAGCACACTAAAAGAGAAAATAAAAAGAAAAGGAGAGACAGGGTGGGGGTTATGAACAGGCTAAGATAGAGGGGAAGAAAAACATACAGATTAAAATTGTTTAGTGTTTGGCTTAAGACATGACTCGGAGTATTGCATGCATTTGTCCTTAAGGAATGGTAAGACAGTGTGATGTGAGACTGTGGATGTACAAAAAATGTTGATGGGTCATAGGCTGACACTTTTTGAAGCTAGGTGAATGCCACATAGTGATTAACGCTACTGTTCTTTAAATACATGGACATGTCTGAACATTTTCACAATAAATATATAAAACAAAGAATTTTAATGGAAAGGTGAACATATGTTTTGAGGGGGAGTCTCTATACATATTGACTTAGTATAAATAATAATATATAGTTTTTTCTTTCAATTTTCTTTTTTTCTTCTTTTATTATTTTTAAACCATGTTTATTTTTTCAATTACAGTTGACATACAAGATTATATTAGTTTCAGGTGTACACCTCAGTGATTAGACCTTATATAACTTACTAAGTGATCATTCCAGTAAATCTGGTACCCATCTGACCCCATACAAAGTTTTTAGAATATTAATGATTGTATTCACTATGCTGTATTTTATATCCCAATGGCTATTTTGTTACTACCAATTTGTGCTTTTTAATCCCTTCACATTTCTTACCCAACCCCTTTCCCATTTGGCAACCATCAAAATGTTTTCTGTATGAGGGGTCGCAAGAGTAGGAAGATATTTATTGCAGCTCCTCCCCGAACCAAACTAGAAGTAAAACTAAAGAGGGAAACAGCCACATGAAATAATCAGCTGAAGACTACCTGAAGAGGAGACCTATAACCAATGATGAGCAGAAACCACCTTGAGACCAGTAGGAAGAGTGGAGATGCAAAATGGGCCAGCCTGTTCCTGGGGGTGGCAGGCTGAGGTTGTGGCATGGCTGTGGAGCTTCCGCCTGAGAGGAGTGAAGGCTGGGCCCCAGACTGGGACTCCCTTTGCTGGAGCACCAGAGCCAAAATCTGCTGCCCATGTGGCGTCCAGCAGTGAAAGACTACCGGGTTTCTGTCTGCCCGGGAGAGACAGAGCCCTCTGGAGACAAAGCCACTACTTTTTTTATGGGGCCAAAGCACAGGTTTTTCATTTGCAGCTACCATTTACCTTGGAGTATGGAGAAGAGAGGGCGGTGTGGACTGGAGTAGCCTGAGGAGAGTTTGGAGTGGGAAGCACTGGGGAGGGATGTAGGGGAGTGGCTACTGGGATCTCTGTGCTGGGACAGCACCCAGTACAGCAGTAGCCATTTTTCTTGAGAGGAGCAAGCCCCTACTAGGGAAAAAGCAATGATCTCACACTCTGGGATACTGCTTGTCCCCACCCTCTGGAATCCTGCTTGCCCTATCCTCTGTAGTCTCGCTTACCCTCACCCTGCATCTTTTTTATTCTTTTTTTTCCCCCAACCTGCATCTTAACTCCTCCTAAGGAGACAGAAACGCAGGCAGAATCATGGGGTGTCAGAGACTGGCTTTAGGGTGTGGCCATTCCATATGCTCTCCTGGGGACCAGAATGGTGCTTCCCCCTCCTGGGAGAGCCATAGAAATACCCTCCTGGTTTCCAAAACACCCAAACTCTGGGTTCTGGAGTCAGACTCAGTTGTATGGTTCAGGGGTGGAAGAAGACGCCCACCATCTTTCCTGACGTCTGAACAGTGCCTCCTCTCCCAAGGGAGATCCAGGGGTTCCATCCCCTCAATTCTATCAGAAGGCCCCTCAGAAACAGTTGGGTCAGTGACTAAGACTGACAGCAGACCGACAGGCAGAGGCAGGTAGAGGCGGATCCTTGGGACGTTTGCTGACCTACCCTTGGGCCCCTGTGGTGATAAAAGCTGGCTTTGATGCACAGGTGGGCCCATTCCATGCACAGTCAAGCCTGGAGGAGACAGCCACAATCTGTGGATCACTTGTAGCTTCAAACAGACTGCCAAGGGCTAGACATGGGCAATATCTGATGTTGGCTTACACCAGCTTCAGACACCACCAGAGCTTATAGCCAAAGGGAGAACTCAGCAGGCAGGCTAAACTCTGCTGAGACAAATTCCACCTTGTTCTTTTTCATTATTTTTGTTATTTTTCTTTCTCATCCTTTTACTATTTTTCTTTTTCATCTCTTTTTTCTTTTTCTTCTCCATTTTTCCTTTCGTATCTCTTATTTTACTATTTCCTTTTCTTACTCCATTTTTCCTTCCTTTTTCCTTTTATTCTTATTCTTTCTTTTATTTTATTCTTTTTTGCTATTTTCCTCTTTCTATGCCTTACTTTTATTGTTTCTCTTCCTTCTCTATTATCATAATCATTTTTCTTTCCATTGGTCTTCTTGTGTTCTTTTAATTTTACTATTCTATTTCTCTTTTATTATCCTTTCTTTTTTCATTGATTTTGCTGTTGTTGGGGGGATTGTTTGTTTTTGTGTGTGTTGTTTTGTTTTGTTCTGTCAGCATCTGTAGAACAGTGTACAAGATGTCATTGGGATTGAGACTCTCATTCAGCCAGCTGGATGGGAGATCCCACCAACAAAATGGCCAACAACAATCAAGAACCAAATACAATAGGAGAGCCCATATAACCCACATGAGAGACATTCCTAGAGCATCCAGCTCAGGAGATTAAGGTGACCACATCACTGGGTCCCGCAGGACTATTACCACATTAGGCCACCCCACAAAGACAGAGAGTCAAAGTGGATCTGTCTAATACATAGAAACAAAAGAGACAGTTAAAACAGGGATGCAAAGAAGCAACTCCCAAACATAAGAAATGGAGGAATACCCAGAAAAAGAAACGGAGGAAAGCAATTTACCAGACATAGAATTCAAAGTAAGGGTTATAAGAATGTTTAAGGAACTTGGTGGAAACTATATCAGCATGACAAAGGACATAGAAAGTATGAATAAGAACGAGTTGGAAATAAGAATATAATAACATAAATGAAGACTACACTAGAAGGAATTCAAAGCAGGCTTGATGAAGCAGAGGACTGAATAGTGATTTGGAAGACAAGGTAGAAAAAAATGTTCTCTGTATCTATGAGTTTTTTTCTGTTCTGCATCTTTATTTTGTTTTTTTAAAATTCGCTTGTTGATAGATTTGTATTTCTTACCACTTTATTGTTCATTTTTAAAAATCTTTGTTTTCTTTTCTACTTTTTCTTAAAGAAGATCCTTTAACATTTCATGTAATACTGGTTTGGTGGGGATGAACTCATTTAGTTTTTTCATGTTTGGGAAGCTCATTATATGTCCTTCAATTCTAAATGAGAGCTTTGCTGGGTAATCTTGGTGGAAGGTCCTTTCTTTTCAGCACTTTGAATATTTCTTGCTAATCCTTTCTGGCCCAAAAAGTTTCTGTTGAAGAGACAAGAGGGAAGGGGGTGGGGGCAGGGAAAAGGAAGGGAAGGGGAAAGTCAAGGAACATATAGCAAGGACTCATGGACAAAACCAAAGGGGAAGAGCTGAGGGAGGGAAAGAGGAAGGGAGCAAGGGAAAGTGGTGGGAGGTAAGCAGAGACAAATGTATTGGAAAAAATAAATAAAAAAAAAATTAAAAAAAAAAGTTTCTGTTGAGATATCAGGTGACAGTCTTATGGAAGCTCCCCTGAAGGTAAGTAACTGCTTTTCTCTTGCTGCTTTTAAGATTCTCCCTTTGTCTTTAACCTTTTGCATTTTATTTATGATGTATCTTGGTGTGGGCCTCTTTGGGTTCATCTTATTTAAAGCCCTCTGTGTTCCCCAGACTTGTATGTCTATTTCCTTCACCAGGTTAAGGAAGTTTTCTGTCATTTTTAAAAATAGTTTTCACTTTATTGCCCTCTTCTCTGGACCTGGGGCCACTTAGCAAGAGGTATGGGGTGTGCAAAGGTCAGATGCTGCTTGTCTAAAAAATTAAGGAAAGTGTGAAGCATGAGCCAGCATCTTGACTGGTTATATGTATGGAAAAACCACTGGAAACAGCTTGGCTGAGTCCAAAAGTTGTTGGGGTGGGGTCTCAGGGAATCACTAGGGTGGGGCAAAGAGTGATAACCAGGTAGATGAAGACTCAGACAAGGCACCTGTCTGCCAGCTGTGGGGAAATGTTCAGAAGAGGGATAATGGCCTCTGCCAGGACTTTGAGAGGAAGCTGCTCTTCCAGCTCTCACCCAGATGCCAGACACTTCAGTTCCTCCCTGTATATCCCTGGGCTCCTGTGTTGAGCTCCTTCCTCAGCTCTGGAATTTAGAGGAGGTAAGTTTGAGTAAGTCTGTGCTCAGGCTCTTTAAAAGGGACTGCCTAGAACTCCAGAAGCCCTCCACCTCACTCAGCCACAATCCCCTCTGGTTTTTACAACCATAAGTTAGAGGGCCTTCTCTTCCCAACACTGGAACTCTAGGCTGGGTGGGGGCCCTGGTGTGGACCTCAGACCCTTCACTTTTCAGGGGAACCTCCGCAGCCAAGATGTACTTCCCAATTTTTATGCACCACATGTAGGTGTGGAACCAACCTGTTCATTGTCTCCCACCAGTCTCATGTGTCTTTTTCTTATTTATATCCTTAGTTGTAGGACTTCCGTTCAGTTAGATTTCAGGTGGCTCTGAGTGATTGTTGTTCCATATTTTAGTTGTATTTTAAAATTTTTTTATTGTATTAAATTTTTTTAATACAATAAAAAATACAGTAAAAATACAATAAAAATACAGTTGTCCCAATTTTCCCCCCTTTGCCCTCTTCTGCCCAGTCCACCCCTTGTTCCCACAGTCAATCCCCACACTGTTGTCCATGTCCATGGGTCATTCATACATATTCTTTGACTAGACCCTTACCCTTCTTTCCACCATTATCCCCATCCCC